GCCCAGCCCAGCCCAGCCCAGTCGGGCGCGGAGCAGCCGGGCCAGGAGCGAGGACGCGTCTCGGCCACCGCCTGCGGCCGCAGCCTCGGCCGCCCGGCGCAGACACCGCCGCCCACCTAGCCTTTCACGGACGCGACAGGATCTCCCAGGCTCGCGGGGGGCCGGCGCCCCGGCCTGGCCCCGGCTGCGCCTCCTGGCCATTCACCCTCTCCCTCCGGCCCGGGTTCTTTGAGGTCTGAGGCGGAGGGGCGGTCTGTGCCTCACCTGCACAACGGCCTGACTGCCGGGCTGACGCTGGCTGCCCGAGACCGCGGAGCGCGGGTGCTCGGCCCGGCCGCCGCGACAGTCACCTGGGAAGCCTAATAAACGTGTGAGGCCGCGTGTCGCCGGGCATTTGTGGTCGGCACCCAGGACCCAGAACCGCGGGTCCGGGGTGTCCAGTGACAATATTGTGGTCACGACCGGAATGTGCCCTTCGTGGAGGGTGGCTCGCAGTCTTGAGACAGCGACCGGCTGTTTCTTTTTGTCCAAGAAGACTGGGACCTAATGTGGTTTGCTCACTTTTAGTTCCTGATATATAGAATGTGCGTGTCAAACGTGCACCATTGAGTAAATCATTTCCGATGACTTCCTGACATAGCGGAGGGTTTTACTTTTAAACTTTTTTTATTGTGGGAACTTTCAAACATTTTAATAGAGAATAGTGTATTGAACTTCAACTCTCTCACCCCTGTTTCATCTATTACCCTCACCTCCACTGTATTCTTTCAAAGCAAATCTGAGATGTACTATTCCATCTAAAGATTTGTTTTTAAAACAACTCCGCTTTTAAACATAAATCCATTCTCAGCCCAATTAGCGTTTCATATTGTCTACTTTCCAGTCAATGTGTACATTTCACTCATTGTCTCTTCCCTGCCTGTCTTCCCTATCTCTTATTATTTGGCCAAATCAAGACATACAAACTACACTTTACTTTTGGCTAGTACCTCCTAAATCTCCTTTACTCCCCCATATTTTATTTATTTTTGTTCCTTTTACTTGTTGAAAAAAGTCATTTGTCCTATAAAGTTTTCTACAGCCTGGATATTGTTTTTTCCATTCCTGGAATTCCTTCAGTAGCTGGTATTCTGATCATTAGATTCCTTTAATAAACTGGTATTTAGTCCTTTTCAGGTTCTGCTTACATTCTTTGACAAGAAAACCTAAAGGCTCACTGTATATTTCATTTGCATCATCAGGAATTAGATAAGATCGTTTCTCTTTGTGTTTTATGTACAAACTGCACCGCAGAGTAACCAAATACTTGACCAGGAAATCAGAGGAGATGGCCCCTAATAACTGCAGAAAAAATGAGAAAATAATCATTCTTTGGTAAACCCTAATGAAATAAAGGATCCTGGCAGCGATCTCTAACAGATGCTAGCATCAGAAAGAGACAGCCAGGTGATGTGTGCCTCCTTAGGGAAATACCCCATACCATTTATTGAGATTTCCTGGGTAGTTGGGGAGAGGATGGCGTTACAGAGCAGTCAGGATTGCCCAGGAATTGTTGATTACTGAAGCTCCATGATGGTTTTGAGGCAAAGGATTGCAGTGACCTTCCTACTTCCGTAGGTGTTGGGAATTTTTCTGAAAGTACTGTTTCTTAAAAAAGATTAACTCCTTAAATTCAGGTAGGGTCAGCTTTTCACTAAACGGTTCTTTTTGTTTTGCTTTTGTATGGTACTGGGGGCCTGAACACAGGATCATTTGTGTTTAGCTAAATCTGCCCCCGCTTTTTATTTACCTGCAGGTAAATCACTCAATTTGGCTGAAACTTGCAATCTCCTGCTTCAGCTTCCCATTTTGTTAGGATTATAGGCTCATGCTGCCATACCTAGGTCCATAAATCTGACTCCATCTTAGAATTACAAGGGAATTATCCCCTTTTCCCTTTTATTAAAATACCAAAGCAGATTTCTAATAGAATTTCCTGTTTAATTGTTTTAGAGTAAGAGCCTAATCACTGATACATTTTAAAATCTATCCAGGTAATCCTGCTGTACTCCCAGAATCCAGTATTACTAGTCTGTGTTGTTTGTTAGGGCTTGGAAAGTGATCTTCATTATCACTTTCTAAAATGTCCTTCAGAGGGCTGGTGAGATAGCTCAGCGGACTAAGTGCCTGCTTAGGCAAGCACAGGGACCTGGTTCAATCCCACCACCTGGCCCTGCCCAAGCTGGCAACCAAATCTGGGTGTGGTGGCACATGCTTGTAATCCCAGCACTGGGGAGGCTGAAAATAGGATCACTATGAGTCTGAGCTGCGTAGTGAGACTTTGTACCAAGTACATAAAACCAAAAAATAATAATAAAGTAAAATAAAATATTCTTCAGAACAACAGGGCTTGCAAAGATTGTTTTGTTATTCTGCATTTTATTAGTCTTTAAGTTCTAACTTTCTACATTGTCTTTAGTCTCACCTTTTGGAAATTGCAGTCCACCAGGGAACCCTCTGCAAATTAAGCTGGTTGTCAGGAAAAATTGGTCCTTGAGGTGAAGTTGTAGAATAAAACACTGAAGGAACACAGCAGAAGGATTGGGATAAGATATACCATTTTGTATGTGAGGGATATGTGACAAGGGCAGTAGGGAGCTGATTTATCCAAAATAGAAAGATTAGGTCATGTGTAATTAGAAATGTATGTTTGACCTTATGACATTCTTTAAAACTCACTGGTATTAAATATAAAATTAAATGTTATTCATTACACCTGAAAGAATGCAAAAGTTGAAGAGCTAATAATTCTGTCCTGCCTCTCCCCAACATTTTAATCACCCCAGAAATAATCAGTGTGGCAGTATGGTGTGTATCGTTCCACAATAGACTGTCTTATGAAAGTGTAAGGGTTTGGAGCATAAAGACAAGATCATCCAATAGCCACCTGTAACTTCTCATTGTCATCCTTCTGGGACAGTAGTTACAGATGTGAGTATTAGCTGAAGAACAGTTAATAGAAATACTAATAGGATTATACAATTAACTATTAAGCCAATTTCCCTGTGGATATATATTTAGATTGCTTCAGTATTTTAGCTACCTAAAAGCACCACAGTAAACATTGTACCTAGATCCTTCATTTCTGTAGGGTGGAGTCCTAAAAGTAGGATTTCTGGGTTATCAACAGCACTATATGTTATTGGTAACATTTATTGTCAAATACTCTTCCAAAGCACAATAGCAATTCTTACCTCCATCATCAGGAACTTAGAGAGCACCCTTTTACTCATTTCCCTTCATCTGGAGTATCACTGCCTAGCATTACTTCACTGCTTGTTGCCAGCTGATGTAATTCTGGCATGTGTCCTTTGCCTATGTTTCTTTTTTTAAAAGAAAACCTTTTATTATTTATTTATGTATTTGTATTTTAGGGAAGGGTCTACAGGGTGTTCAGGGTCTCACTCCTAGATCGGACTTGTAATGATTCGCCTGTTTACAGCCTCCCAAGAGCTGGGATTACAGGTGTGCATCACCATGGCCAGTCTCAATTGCCCTCTCAGTGTGCCCCGGGGGCGGGGCCTGCACAGTAGGCCCTGGGGATTGAACCCCAGCCCCTGCGCCTGCGTATAGGCGTTTTAATCCGCTGAGCTATTTCGCTGCCTATGTTTCTTTTCCACCAGTATTGTTGGGTTTTTAAAAAAATGCATTTGCATACAGCTTTAAGTTATATGTATTCTTTTTTTTAAGATAGAGTCTCACAATATAGTTTAGGCGAGATTTCAACATTCTATGTAGGCCAGGCTGGTCTCAAACTCAGGCCTTTCACCTGCCTGAGACTCCTAAATACTGAGATTACAGGCATGGGCCACTGTGCCTAGCTTACACAAACTTTTTTAAGGGGCACTGACCTCTTGTCATAAGTGATGCAAATTTTTCCAGTAATTTTATTTTTCTTGCCATTATGAATCTGCGGTATATAAAAGTAATAAAATGATATAAACATCAAATGAAAATTATGTTTTTAAATTTTCTGGGCTTCTTTCCTTGACAGTAAGGCTTTCCCATCTCCAAAGTTACATACATACTCTTCTAATATTTTGTCTTTGCAGTATTGAGAATTGAATCCAGAGATAGGTAAGGGTTATACCACTGAGCTATAGCTCCCTACACTATCCTAATTCTTCAGAACATTTTATTGAATTTTTATGTTTAAATTTCTAAACCAAGACTGTGCATGGTAGCACACTAATCTCAGCATTTGGGAAGCTGAGGCAGGAGTATTGCATTGATTACCAGGCCAGTCTGGGCTACATAGTAAATTCAGAGCCAACATGAACTACATAGCAAGACCCTATCTCAATAAATAAATACATTAATTTCTAATTCATGTGCAATGAATTTTTATATACAATATAAAACAGGTGCTTTATGTTGCTTTTCTGCATGAACAGCCAGTTAGGCCAGTACTATTCAATAAATGAACCATCCTTTAACACCTGACATATTGATTTCTTATGTATCAATTTACTTCTGGACTATTCTTTTCACCTGTGAATTCTTTTGTATGTTTATCTTATATCCAGCTCTCTGCCAAGTTATCTAACTATGGTATTTCTAAATGCTGCTTTCTTCCTTGCCATCGATGTGGACAAATGTAGATAATTTAGAACTGGTTATGTGTGTCAATGCATTTTCACTTACTTTGCTTCATACATACCCCCATTATAGAAGTAATTAGAGATGGCAGATGTGTCCAGAAATAGTGAAAGGAATACTGCCAGGAATTGGCAGAAACCTGCATATTCAGCAGGTCACTGCTGATCACTTAAAATTGCGGTATCCTAACCAGTTGTTAAGGGAATGAGACATTTGCTCAGCATTCCTATGTAGTAGCATTATTATGGGCTATCACAGAGCAAGATCATTCAGAGGAAAGGTTGATCATTGTGCACCATTCAGTAAACATAACTAAATTCCTCCTCTTGCCCAGTAGCTCAGCTAAAATTTTTTTGTGTTTATTTTAAATTAGTAATTGGATGATACAGAGTTTTCCTGTGATTTGTCTACCTTGAACTCCAGTTTCTCCTATATTAATGTCTTCCAGTAAGGTTGTGCATTTATTACAGTTGGTGAGCCAGTATGACACACTGTTAGTAACTATATTCGATGTAATTCTTTGTGTTATACATTCTGTGTACAGCTGACCACTGTACTCACTGTATCATAAAGAATAGCTTTGATGTCCCCCAAAATCCTGTGTTCCAACTAGTGATCCTTATTTTCCTCATTACTGATGGACACTGATCTTTTTAGTGTCTGTATATATCTGCCTTTTTGAGAATGTTGTATACTCAGGATTCAAATTATAGTGTTTGGTTGTTTTGTGGTGCTAGGGATTAAACCTTGGACTTCAGACATCCTAGGCAAGTGCTTTACCTCTAGCCCCTAAACTTAATTTTTAATTGATTGGATGTGTGTTTGTGTGTGTATGTGTGTGCAATCATATAAGGTTTGGCAACTTGTAATTTTAGCCAGTTGAAAGTTACAATAAGGACTGGGGTCTTAGCTCAGTGCTACAGTGCTTGCCTGGCCCACACAAGGCCCTTGTTTCCAGCTCTCAACACTGAAAAAATAAAAGAGCTATAGCTAAAAATAATTAGGAGTTGGGAGGTGTAGTTCAGTGATACAGCACATGTTCAGCAAGTATAAGGCCTTAGGCTCAAAAGTGGCACCAAAAATAAATAACAGTAAGTTGTATAAGAACATGCTTTTGTTACAGTGATTTGAAATAACATGCAGGTGATCTTTCTTTGCAGAGTCGAAGATGTCTATGGATGTGACATTTCTTGGGACTGGTGCAGCATACCCATCCCCGACCCGGGGTGCTTCTGCCCTGGTCCTTCGGTGTGAGGGTGAGTGCTGGCTCTTTGACTGTGGGGAAGGAACACAGACACAGCTTATGAAAAGCCAACTGAAAGCAGGTTAGTGCACATTTGGCTGTCTTGTTTTGCTTCAGTTTCTTAGCTCTCCTGGGGCCTGTTGTTTATTTTTTTTTTCAAAGTTTTATTGATAAACAGATAGCAATGAGACAGTTTCAAATCCAATCAGAAGTACAGTTTCAACAAATAATATACTGCATATATTCTTCTTAGTGGTTAATTACTGTACAAGAAGTGGACTTGTGATCCTATTTACAAACACCATTAGAACAAATCATTCTATTCATTAAGAGAATGCAACTATATATCTATCCTAACCAGCTCAGGCCTGGCATACGGGCCTGTTGTTTAGAAGCAGCCCTGACAGCTGCATCCCACTTCAGTGCTAGAGCCCTAGCAAGACTGAGAAGGCCCTCAAGCATCTAGCTGTACTGAACATCCAGTGCTGGACCTCACATACTTGTTTATTTACTTTTCATTCACTCTGTAAATGTTGGAAACAAGGCTTTCTGTAGGCTTCAGGGTGGAGGATCGGGGAGGGATACATTAGGCATATTGGATTCATACCGCCCTAGCAAGGGAGCAGTGGCTGTATTTCCACAGAAAACAGTGGTCATAAAAGGATATAGGTGCCCAGAGGAGGGAGACATTCTCTTCCACCTGGGGTTATTAGGTTTGGCATCTCAGAGAAGTTGACTGTTGACGGGGAGAAAGAGTTCCCAGGCTGCAAAGGGAATTGCAGTCAGAGGAAAGCAGAAAGCCACGGCCAGCACTTGGCAGATTGAGAAGTGAGAAGTGCAAAGCCTCAGCTGCGCAGATTTGCAGAATTGGGTTTCAGTCCCAGAATATCTACCTTGTGACCTTAGCAGATCAGCAAATTTGAACTTTACTTTCCTTGCATAGAAAATGGAGGTGAAAACTGTTTAGAAGGGATGTTCCTTCTTTGTGAGGTTGCCTCCGTTACATGTTAGCTTGAAGTCCACCTCTTCGGAGACTTTCCTGAACCTGTTGGGTTAGGCAGTCCTTCCCTCACTCCATTCTATTATTTCATCTTATTTTTACTGGTTCCTTACCATCATTGGTATCTGGAATTACATTAAATAGTTTGCTTCTTTTTTCTCTCTCTCCCTGTACAATAAAGTAGGTTCAGCTATCACTTACATAGCTAGTAGAGTCTTAGTGCATATCTATTCAGTTTGCAAATGGATAAGATGATAAGCAGTTTTGTACAGTGCCTCTTACTTTTTCAGTCTTGATTTAAAAAAGTAATTACTGTGGTTATTCCTACAGCTCATCAGGGGGCATATCACTTGATGTCCAAAGGGAAGATACTTCCAGTGTCCTCAGCTCTCTTGGTCTACTGATAGAAACTCACATTCAGACAGTCCTGAAGCATGTAATAATCTAAGTAGAACAGTGGGGTTTTTTATTAAGTACTTTTGGAGCACAGAGGAGAGGCCACTAACTAATAGGGCATGTGCTTAACATGTGCAAGGTCCTGGTTTTAATCCCCAGCAGCAGAACCAGGCAACAAAACAAAATCATTATAAAACAATTGTTTAAAGTATTATAAAAGCATGATTTTAATGTGATTATAAAACATTTTATGTGGGTCTGAAGGTGTAGTTTAATGCTGGAATGTGTGTTTAGAGCACGTATAAAACCTTGAGTTTGGTTTTTTTTTTTTTTTTTAATGTATTTAGTACAGGGTCTTACTACACAGATCGGACTTGTAGTGATCCTTCCTGTTTTTCAGCCTCCCAAGCGCTGGGATTACAGGTGCATGCCACCACGCCCAGTCTCAATTGCCGTCTCAGTGTGCCCCATGGGCAAGGCCCAGCACTGCAGGCTGGGGATCAAACCCCCGGCCCCTGCGTCTGCCTAAGCAGGCACATCTGCTGAGCTATCTGGTCGGCCCTGAGTTTGCTTCCAGCATACACACACACACACACACACACACACACACACACACACACACAAAGAGCAGGAGAGAGCTGTATAAATCATTTAAATGATTTTAAAATGATTACAGTGCTATTGTAGAGGTTAGAACAAAACAAAAAAAGTGTAAATAAGAACCCCCAGGTTCTCTTCCCATAGGCAAACTTTCTATACATACAGATATGGAAATGGTATGGCTGTATCAGTGTGTATGGTATGGCTATATCTGTGTGTATGTAAGTGTAGGTTTGTTTTTTGTTGTTGTTTTTTTTTAATGTATTTGGTACAGGGTCTTACTATGTAGCTCGGACTTGTAGTGATCCCCTATTTTCAGCCTCCCCAGCTCTGGAATTACAGGCATGCACCACCACGCCTAGTCTCGGTGGTGGGCTCAGAGTGCCCGGGGTGGGGGCCGGCATGGCATGTGGTGCCAGGGATTGAACCTTCATTCCTGCACTTTCCTAAGAAGGTACTTAGTCTGCTGAGCTATCTTGCCAGCCTTGTAGGTGTAGTTTTACATAAGTGGAATCACACTATACCGGCATAACCTCCCTTTTTCACTGGACCCATATATATGTACAATCTATTGCAGACCTTTTCTTATGGAAGAAAGTATACTTTACCATTATTTTCAGAGGATGCTAAGCATCCACTCCCCTGTGGGCAGTTTTTTGATCACTCCTTGTCCTCATGTGTCAGGGAATACATGTGCTTTTCTCTTTTCATTTGATAACTTCCTCATATCTTTGATAGTTGTAGTTGCCATTACTTTTCCCTCTGAAATCAAGTTTCTTGAAAAATGAAATGTTTGTCTCTTCAAACTGTGATAACTGTGGGAAGCAATTTTCCACTTACTTAATTTGCCTCACTTGCTTTGCATTCCCAGGCTGTTTTGATATTCAGCTTTAGCTTTGCTTTTGGGTAGATAGGAAGGGGCCCAGAAAGGCTAATGTTGCCAGTTTCGAGACCAACATATAATCTGAACTCAGTGGCCCTTGTAGTCTTTTTTTTTTTTTAATTAAATCCTTTTTTAAAATTTTTTTTTTATTTATTTGAGAGACAGAGAGAGAGAGAGAGAGAGAGAGAGAGAGAGAGAGA